GCTGAAAGGGCCAAAGCGGAATGCGCGTAAAGCGCCCACAGCCCACGGCCCACAGCCCGACGCCTGACTATCCCAATTCCAATCCCAATCCCAATCCAAATCCAAGCATACGATACTTTGCATATTTGATTTCACGCCCAAAACTCAAAATGCATACGCAAATTATGCGCATCGTCGTCGTCGTCAGCGGCGGCAACAGAAAAAATGCAGCTCCCACACATGGCAAGTGGAAAAAAAAACTTTATCTAAACTTAACAAGCAGGCAGCATGCCAAACAACAACAACAAGAGCACACAGTGGGCGGCAGCAGTTGCAGACTTGCCAAATATACGAGGGCTAAACCAAGCGACAGGCCTCGCACAGTGGGCTAAGGCATGCTAAACATGCCCAGACCCAAAGGACGAACATAAACAAACTACCATTGATGAGCTTCAAGGTGTCATAGATATTTTAAAATAAAAAAAATAATATATGCATTTTTACAAAAAATATAAAAATTGTAAAACAAATTCTAATATTCAAGAAAATGTAGATTAGAAAGGGAAAACGATTTTAGAAAATGTTCTCAACTATGAGCAAAGAGAAACGGAAACTAAAGGTATATTTATACAAAATTTAAATGAAGCAAATGTAAAATTTATGTTTTGCATTTTTTTAAATATTTGTTTAGTTAAATATACGCATATATTAAACTCATCCAACTCTGAACATTTCCTCTCAAACTCTTATAAATCTAGCTATACATTTTCCCATCTGTTAGGCGAATACCCGATAGTCTCTGTCCGACCAAATAAACTTTGAATCAATCCCTGTTCGATACGTGTTACCATACGTGCCCATAACATTTAACACAAAATAATATTATATAGCTTTACGTTTGTCCCCAATATAAAGCAAATAATTGATTTTCCAAATTTTAGCTTCTCGTCGAATTTTCTTACAATATGCATGTTCCTCTTTTGCCCACTGTGCACAGTTGAGCCCCTACCAATACTAACACCAACACCAATGGCCAATACACACGCACACATACGCGCACAGCTGACGAAGATGCCTGTGTTCTGGCTTCTGCTGCTGCCTCTCTCTCTCTCTCTCTCTCTCTCTCTCTTTCTCTCTTTATCTTGGGCAGACGCTCCTGCTCTTGCCCCTGTTACACACTTCTCCAATACAGCGCTTGCGTTTGCGGCTGCTCCAAGTCACGTTTCGCCTTTGCCTGTTTCAGCGTTGTTGCAGTTGTTGTTGTTGTTGTTGTTGTTGTTTCCTTTGCCTTGTCATCTTGTTTGCGTGTCTCTTGTGTGACTATGTGTGTGTGTGTGCCCTTTTTTTGGTATTGGAATTTCAATTCCCAGAAATATTCAAAAATATTCCCTGGCAGTGAAATAAATTTAATGCTGCTTGTAAATTTTTGTTTTCGTTGTTGCTTATGCTTCTTTTTACGAAGCGTAAAATTCCTTAACGAACCAACTGAAAGTTATGTATGTATGTATGCACGCACATAGAAGAAACAGTTTTGTTGTTGTTGCTTTTGCATTTACTTTTGCTTGTTATTTGTTTATTTGTATAACTGTTTAACAACACCTGCAGCGACATGCGTGAAAGAGCGAGAGCATGCTCGAACGGGAAAGAGAGCGAGTGCGCTTCTAAAATTAAGCCAAAGCAAACAAATCAACATAATTTCGAAAAGCAATTCATTTTTCGTTGAATGAAAAATTTAGAAAACTTTAGTTGCCGCATAATTGGTTGACACAAATGGAACGTCGCTAATTGCCTAACATTGTTGTTGTTATTGTCGCTCAAGTGGAGAAATCAATAACAAAGGGCACGATTTTAGAGGCAAAGGGTGTGGAACTCACCAAGCAAACGCATCACCTCTTCCGGATTCAGGAACACGTTTAAATGCGCTGCGACGCCTCTGCCGTTGTTCAGGAGCAGCGCAGTCAGCGCAAGCAACGCGAGCAGCATTTTGTTGTTGTTGCCTGTCATGCTTGTTGTTGTTTTAAGGCTTTTAATTGGCATTTTTATTCAAAAATTTGTAATTTTCCGCTAGTTTTTACACATTTAGGCACGCACACAAATTCGTAAACAATCGAGGAGACAACGAATACGAGGCAAAGCACACGCGCAGAGAAAACAGCGAACGGCAGAGTGTTATAACAGCGGCGTCGCACAAGCAAACGAAAAGCGCGATTTTGTTGACATTCAAGAAGCTATAGCATTTTAACACTTGACACAACCCATTAACTAAATATTTAACACAATTTTAGACGCGAGTTTTATCTGTTTTCTCAATTTTCTCTGCATTTACCGGCCGCAACAACCACACTGTTCAACAGAAAATTTATGAATAACAGGCCTGTTAACGCAAAAGTTGTTAGCTAACAGAAATAGTTACCTAAAATGTTAGCGATCTGCAAAGCGGCTGTTAAGACAGCTGTTTTGTGTTTGGCGCGCTGTATTTAAACATTGAATTAATATATTCACCTTGTTAATATTAAATGTATCATTTTTATTTCACTCTATTATTAAAATCAATATTATTATGACACTACAATCAGCGGGATTTTCATTTTAATTAAAAAAAAAACATTCAACATTGTGCGAAGAGTAGCGCCTCTGTTAATTGCAACGACAACAGTGCGGTACACGGTTTTCTCTTTTGCTCTCCTGTTGATTTAACAGTGTGGATGTGAAGCAGCAAACAAAAGTAAATACCACAATAAAATATATTGCATGCGCCATCTAGCGTGAAGACAGTGTCATAAAAATACACCTAAAATGGTGCGTAGTACAGTTTTCTAGAGTAGGGGAATGCGTAAATTTGTGGATTCTGTTGCTTACGTGAAGTTAACAGTTAAAATATGTTATACCACAATTTAGAATAAGTAATTTAAAATAAAGTAATTTTCAAGGATTTTTTAAACAGATACTGTAATAACCTTAAATTTTGAAGATGCACTTTTGGACGGGGTTTTGCGAAACTTTTTGGAGTCGCGTCTTTTTCAGAATATGGAAAATACGGATCAATGATATTTTGATTGAAGATGTAAGTTTAGTCCGTACATTTTTGCTTTTCATCGATCCTTCGTAAAACTCATTTCCAAAGATCTTTGTGAAAATTTATTTCATACGTTTCTTGCAAAATCCATCATTCTTGGATATAAAATGCTGGCCAATAGCTAAATCAACAAATGAATATTTTTCATCATCAAGAAGACTGACATGGACAAAAACCGCGGATTAGAACTTTTAATTCTTTACTGTTGAATATTTATGTAAAATATAATTTTAGATGGCAAGGAGGTAAGTTAAAGAAAATCTATTAGATTTCAACGGGTGGAGAACGGGTGAAAAAGTTAGATACAATTTTAGGCACAAAACTTTCCACGGTTGAAATCGGATAATACCTGCTAGAAATCTATAGATATAGAAATGGTTGTCCTGACTGATTGATCCATTATTGATAAACACATAACCAAATATTCGTGAATAAATCGATTAGTTAAAATATTATTTCAAAGCTAAAATTTTAAATCTAGTGTATCAAGGCTTGATCAGTTATAGGTAAAAGCAATAAAAATTAGAGAATTGACAGATATATGTAGAAAGAATACACAAATCCATGAGATGGGGATTCCAGAGGCATTCCACTACTTTTGGCGCCACAACAAAATACAGTTTTGATCTATTCATGTTTAGTATTTGTTATCAGTAGGAAAATACGGAATTGAGATCGATTCAGACTAGTTTCGCATTCGCATACGAAACCTTTGCCAGAGCTGATTAGATAGCGGCTATCACGTTTTGTTATCAAGACAACTCGGCTGGTGATAAGCGAACAGGTTAGTTTGTTGTTTGCCTCAATGCCTAACAGCTGCCAATTGGGACGCCACTTGGCGCTGCTTTGCCTGGGACTCGCTGTGCTGCTCCGGCTGGCGGATGCGATGCGCTGCAAGCTGCCCTACGAGAAGGTGCAGGACAACTATTGCTACTTCATAGACGACGATAATCCCCTGGTCAGTAGCAGCCTACTCCGACTCGAATGGAACTGACATTTAACTATCTGCACACACACACACACACACACACACACACACACACACACATCCACACATCGCAGCCCAACTCGTTCAGCGACTTTTGCTACCAGGAGAAGCGCACGTCGCGCGTTTGCCTGGACAGCGAGGAGGAGATGCGCGTCCTGGCCAATTATCTGTACGAGAGCGGCTACCAGAATGGCACGCAGTTCTGGAGCGCCGGGCATCGCTGGCCGGGCGATTCGCAGTTCTATTGGAATTACTTTGGGCATGCCCGCAGCATAAACTACACCAACTGGCTGGAGGGGGAGCCCACGGCACGAATGGGCCGCAACTGCATGCTGCTCACTCTCCAGGCCGGCGAGCTCTTCATGTCCACCGAATCCTGCTACACCCGAGCCGTGGACATATGCGAGCAGCTCCTCACCAATGAGCCAACCATAATGCACTGAACGACAATCTTTCCAACGGCCTGAAGTGGAATCTTGACGTACTTATCGATTGGGCTTTTTTTATTGTGTGCCATTGAGTAATAAATAGAAAGAGCAGGTGTTTGAATCAAAAGCTCTTTTTATACCCTGAACCCATTAAAAATGTGTATAAGGGTATATTGTATTTGTGCAAAATCCAAATGTATGTAACAGGCAGAAGGAAGCATTTCCGACCCCATAAAGTATATATATTCTTGATCAGCATCAATAGCCGCGTCGATCTAGCCATGTCCGTCTGTCCGTCCATCCGTCCGTATGTATGAACGCAAGGATCTCAGAACCTATAAGAGCTAGAGACTTGAAATGCTCCTAGTTCCCGCGCAGAACGAGTTTGTTTCAGATAATCGATAACTTACTCCGTTTCTAAGCAATCGATAAAAAAACAATATCAATATCCTGTTTTTTGGGCAATTTTGGTAAATAGTAAGAGCAAGAGTCAGCAAACTTGACATATAGCTTCTAAAATAAAATATATATATGCACTTGAAGTTGGAAGAAGAGGGTTCAGGTTCTTGTTTCATTGTCGAGTCGTTTGTTTTGATTATGGTTGTTGTTGGTTCTTATGGAAAATGTTTTGAACTTGTCATTGAATTGAGGGCATCGGCAGAAGTAGCTGCAGACAGCCGGGTGTTGTGTTTGCAATTTTTGTTTGCAACCTCGTTTTCGATCAGTATTTCTAAAAAAGAGCTTTTGATCCAAACGCCTGCTCTTTCTCTTTATTACTCAATGTGTAGTATTAAATTACGAATTTTTATTTTTTGCGCCTAAGTAAAGTGTTGCCGTTCGAGTTGATAAGACGAAAAAATGCGCAAAAGCCATTGCGATCGGATTCTGCTCCTTTTATTAGCAGCTAAAGCATGCCAATGTACATACACGTACGAAAAGATCGGCGACTCTCGCTACTTCATAGGCAAGGGGAACAGTGTAAGCCATGTTTATAGATCCCGCAGTCAATTGGCTGATTGGTGCTTGTTGTTTCAGGATGAGCAAATATTCGACTGGTTTGATGCGCGTCACAGTTGTCGAGCTCAAGGCGGCCAACTCGTATCCGTGCAGACGGCCAAGCAGTTGATTGAACTGGAGCACTATATATTGGCTCAGGGATATCCCAATGGAAGCATGTTTTCCACATCCGGTCACAGTTTCGAAAGTGAATATCCTTTCAAGTGGAGTGCGCTGGGTAAGAGCGTGACGTACACCAAGTGGTTGCCCGGCGAGGGTCCTCCGCTCAATTCGTTTTTGAGCCTGCAGCTTGTCAACTCGGAGCTGTTTATGGTAACGTCTTGGGGCTTTGATCAGTTTTATATATGTGAATATGAAACAATAGGTGTTTGGTTAGTTACTAACTTATATAATCCGTTTTATTTAATACTTGTGATCCTCATATTAGTGTTCTTATATACGTTAATAAAAAAAAAAAGAGCGGTACCTGAAGAAGAGCAGCTGCTTAAAAATTAAGTAAAACTATTTAGTTTATTCAAAATCTTGATCGTAACAATTTTAAATTTAAACAGAAATCCAAAAAATTCGTTATCGATTCTTATCAAATGCTTGAAATTGCGATAAGCTGTGTTTATACATATGTACAAAGAGTCAGACAGCTAAGTCAGATAAGATTATAATAAGTATATGTGAACTGATTCACAACGCAGTAAACAATCGATAGCCATAAATACATATATATAACCTGTAAGTCCCACAAAGACTTCGAATATGCTCGAGACCGTAAATCTCTCAGTTGATCAAAGAGCAAAAGACTTCGAGAGACATATGTGTGATAGAAAGGCATCGCTTATTTTTGCCACTACAAGAAACTGCCTTGGCTTACTCTCAGTGCTCTCAATAGATTTATAATCTAATCAAGCCTTGAGTACAAAAAGAACGAGATGCAAAGTCACTCTGAGCACTTGTGACCGTTTCAAAACTCAAGCAAGGCACATTAGGTTGTTCTGCAAACGCAAAATCAAGCATAAGAAAGAAAGACAATTTAGCATAGGACGCAGCAGACTTTTTATCTCTTTCTATATATATATATATTACTCAATCAATTAGGCGTAATACAAATAGTTTTTATATAAAGTAAATTTGAATCAATTGCAAACCTGATTTCTAAAAATTTGAAGCATGAGAGTTCTCTTTCAAAGACATCAATTTAATAACTGTAGCTCGCAGGCAAATGCCATTTTCTGTTTACAGCTCGCCGTGGCCATAATCAACTCTGATCCGACATACTCCAGGTAAACACAGAAGCCGGAAGGGAAGCGAGTTGAGTTCGTCTGCTGCTCGACAAAGTTTGAAAAGTTCATGGGATGCGGATCGTGGTGCCAGTAAAAACGCTCCAATGAACTATGGTCCACTTCGAGCTGGGCCAGACTGCCGCGATGTCCGCCGCTCCAGAAGAACGGATGGGTGCCAGGATGAGCATATCGGCCAATGTAGTTGGACAGGTAGCGCATCTCCTCGGCGGTCCTGACAGTCAACAGCCGAGCATTGGCGTCTAGTGTCTCGCAGGCGAAGCTGGCATGCAGCCAGTCAAGCTGTGAATGCGAAGAGGAGAAGATAGCCCTGAAGAGTTTAGAAGAAGGTTATTCCGTGAGGAGACTCACTATGGCGGGCACACTGAAGATGCGGCCGTTATACGATACTTTGTAGTACTCATAGGTGGGCTGCAAGATACAATTGATTAGCAGCACTAGGAAATAGTCAGGACATATAGTATCATACTCACAGCTTTGTTGGTGGAAAAGAAATAGCAATTGTCGCCGATCTCCACGAAGGGCTTCATACAGCGGGCTGTGGGTGAGTACCAAATGAGATAAGTTAACCATCACACCAGCAGAGCTTACGTTTCCAGAATTCCAAGTAGATGCAGGCATAACTGGCCAATATGAGCAAAACAAGTATCACCAGCTCGCAGGACCTACCCGACGCCATCATCTTCTATGCAAATGGAAACTGTGCTGCCAAGCGAAGGGCTCACCGGCTTTTATAGAGCTCCAATCTATACGGCAACTGCATTCACTGAAAGTCAATTGAAACTGGCGACAAATGGCTTAAGGTTTCATCAGAAGTGGCTTGAAAAGGCGTGGAGTGGGCTTTCAGTAGACGCTATCATGTATACTAGTATCAACTCCGTACTGGGTACGGCCAGGCCAGACCTGTGCTTGCATTTCACAAGTAGAATACGCATTGCACTTGTGACATTCGATCAGTTTCTTCAAAGTGTCAATATGATCCATATCAAAGACCTAAACAAATGCTATAGAGTTAAAAGAATATGAGATTAATTGAAGAGTTAAATACGAGGAATGCAATAAACATGAAAAGGACAAGTGCGTATAATAATAAGGAACAGTCGGAAGCCGGCAGATGGCAATGGGGTAATCAGGGTATGAAATCCTTAAGAGTAAGACACAACACCGAATGACCTCCTTAACCAAAGTGTATTCCCAAATAATCTGTTTAATATCTATCATCGATATATATCTACTGCATTGTCGTCAGCTTCATTTCCAGCCATAGGATCGCATTTATGTAAATGATAATGATAGTTGTATATATATGATGATCTGGCATATTCGAACCAATATCATTTTTAGCAGTGAAGCAATCCTCAAATGAATTTAAACAAATATTTTTGAAATGAGTATTTGAGTAAAGGAAAACTTGCATTTACAAAAATCCCATCTTAGCGTGCATTTATAAGCTAACTACAGTGGATATTTGATAGTTCTAGACTCTTAAATAGTAATATAAAAATAAAATAAAATATATAACCTGAAATAACTCTCGGCAATTGCACGCGCTGCTTGTTACCTGAGCAGCATCTAGTATAAAGGCACCTAACTTTTGCACCTCTCGCAGATGCTGTGCCAAATTTATGACATAATGTGCCGAGTTTCTAATTTAATAATTCAACATTTCTAACTCATTGCAGCGTGGAGTGGTTGTCGCCTTGTAATACAAATACATTTTGACTAAACGCTTTTAAGCAGTCAGCAGCCGCTCACGACTCACGAGTCACGAGTCACGAATCACGCGAACGGAAGAGAAACTTTTATACCCCAACTCGAGGCGACGCGACGCGACAGTGGCGGCAATTAAGTCAAATTGATAATGACGACTAAAGTTGTGGGTGGCTGCGAGTTTTTCAGTAGGTATGAGTCGAGTGGGCGTGGCTGTATTAAGGAGTTTATGTGTGTGTAAATATGGCCACCTTCTGGCTGTGACGTGATTTCGTTTGTGCATGCAAATGGCGACACATTTCGACACGTCCCGAAGCATTATTCGGTTCCGTTCAGTTCTGCTTAGTTCAGTTGAGTTCAGTTTGGATCCGTTGGGTGCCCTTTGGCATAATTAAAATGAAATAATTTTGGACAAGTTGGCTGTTTTGGCTCTTAACAGCTTTTCGGCAGCTATTTGCATTCGCCTCCATTCCGTTTGGCACGTAGCGGCAGTTAGACGGTCTGCGCCATATGATGAAAACTTCTGAGCACTTTTTCCCCAGATCCTGCTCCTGCTCCTGTCACAGTGCGAGCTGCTGCTGCTCTCGGCTTCCGGCTCCTGCTCCTGCTCAATGTCTGTTGTGTTGTTCGTGTTGGAATTTTTATTTAATTTGCTCGACTGTCGTCGTATGCTGCTTGCTGGCTGTTGTCTTCTGTTTGTTGCATTGTTTGAAATTAATTTCACTTGTCGTACTGCGGGTGTCATTCGCAACCCTACCCTGCCGAGAGTCCTGCAACGAGCCCAACGTGCTCCTCGTCATCCTGCCAGCACGGTGTGCCGTGCGTGCCGTTGTCAATGGCGCTTAACGCTGCATAGCTGAAACGCCGGAGCCAAGGACAAAGTTAGAAGTTGGCAGCAAGTCGACTTCGCTTGAGTGCTTGTCCACTTGCCGCCCCTCTGTGCGCCTGGTGCCTGCTTTATCCCAATTTGCACTCGATCGTTTGCCAAATCAGCGCGCTAATCATTCAGCCCGTACAGGCAATGCTTCACACTCGCCGGCAGGCGCACTCACTCAATGGCATTCAAGGATGTCAGCAACTTGTCGCTGCTCCCAGGCCCCGGTCCTAGGCCGAGTTACTAGGCAATCCAACGCACTCGCACTCGCATTTTTTTGTTCAGCCGGAAGTACTAAAACCCATAAATGTCAAAGAGGGAGAGACTACGGCTCGACTGCCATCAACAGCAACAACCGGGCAACATTGCTCGTTGTCAGCGCATTTAGTTGGCTAACTTATGTGGCATCCGCAAAGGCAACGCTTCCCCTGCTTCAGAGTCTTGGTCCTGCTCCTCGTCTGTTTTGTCATTAATCACTGACAATAATGAACTTCCGTCGTTTGTAGTCGCAAAATGGCGCCGACTTTCAGCGATTGCAACTGCTGCCGATGCAGCACCAGCTCTTTCCCTTTCCTGCTCCTGCTCCTGCTCCTGATCCATCTGGTGCTGTTGTCATTAGCGCAATGTTGCAAAATTTATCGTGTGACTTATGGAGAATACACACCAAACAGCTGGACAGACTGGAGCTGAGCTGTGCTTAGCTTGGCCATCCAGGCCAAGAGTGCGGCCACCATGATGGCTGCCCTCTGTTTTGGTCATGTGATTTTATCGCTTCGATTTACGACTCATAAAAATGCTAGCGACTTTATATGCGCCAACATCCCAACTGCTTATCCCCGTCTCTCTCGCACTCTGGCTGCTTTGTCTCGCATCTCGCTCCCTCTCTCGCTGCATATTTTTGGGGAAACTCCCAGCGCTATTTTTCCCGGTTTTTATGCTCGACTAGCCTCACCATGCCTCCGGCTCTGCTGCCGTCCGCAGGACAGTTTGTTGCATGAATGTCTCTATGTACATTTTATGGGCATTTAGTGATGCAGAAAATGTTTGGATATTTTTATCCGCCCAACAGCAGCCATCGAACCAAAAAAAAAACTACAACAAAGCGAAAGCGTACTAAAACTATTAAAGGGTAGAGTTCGAAATGAGGCAGACTCTAACTCTGATTTATGATCCAAACTAAACTTCCTACACAAATTTAATTCGAATACTTGCAATTCTCGACGCGACTTTGTCCCCGAGCGTTGGGGCTAATCAATAACACACAAACAAATATTACATATACCCATCAAATGAATAATGTTGAAAATAAAAGTGGTAACAATTTGAACAATCAATATGCCAAATTAAATGTCCAGCACGCCATTCACCCTACTTCCCCTCAGGAAATCTATTGTCCCTGTTCGTGTCCAATCAACAAACTAAGCATACTCCAGACACTGATTGCAGCTCTCCTTAATTATATTTATTTTCCGTCATTTAAATTGTCTGCATATTTGCAGATACTGCGTTAATACAAGTAAGGTTTTGCAAAAAAAAACATAAATAACAGAAGAAGGGCGAATATTGGAGCAAGTGTTAAAGGTATTAATGGGCGCAGCAAATCAAAAAGATTCTGATTGGAGAGTTGCTTCAGCGGAAATTAATACCCCACAAATCGATCATGAACAATATAATTATTCCAAATTACTTCACAATCAGGTATAATCGAGTTTCTATATTATTAGAGCCCGGCGATATACAAATGCTGCATAAGGCAACAGCGACAATAAATGCAATTTAACAAAATAAAATAATTATAAAAAAAAAAAACAATAAACAAAACAATTTAGATATAATTTAAACTAATCATGTTTCTGAAATCGCATTTATATCAGAATCAAGAAAATAACCAAAAAAGAAAATGTAGAAACAAAATTTATCACATAAAAATGTCTTTCCCAGTGAATTTTACCGCACAGGATAAATCCATAAAGGATATATATTTTTCTAAGATACTATTAAAACTAAAACAGGAATAACCCATATATATGATATATAAAGCCCCCACCCCCGTTTTATAAGGCAAACATCAATTTGCGGAGCAATTTAGTCATAATACAAAAGGTTTCTAACCAATAT